CAATAATACTTTGCAGCTGTGTAGAGATTTGATGCAAAGATCTCAAAGCACTTTGGAAACATTAACCAACTAGGCATAAAACCCTTTGATTGGTAGTGTTTTACTTTGTGTTCATGTTGGGAAACTAAGGCAAGCACATTTAAGAACCCACAGTAATTTCGTGTCACAGCTAAGAATCCTACTTCAGCAAGCTTTGGATCATACCTATAAATTTTTGACTTCTTTATGGCTCCAGTATTTTGTCTTTTATTCACTTGACAGAATATGTGGCTCTACCTTGTTTTCTTTTGCTGAGTGTCAAAGAGATTTGTTTAAATTATACTATGTAAGTCCAGAAGTCTATTTTTTGTTATTCCTGCTTCTTTTTTTCCCTTATCGGCAGTTATTACTCTGCCTCTATCTCATGACAACTTGCTGCAAGGACAGTTGCAAATTTAACATTGAAAAGCCTCCTGTGTTTGCTGACATGCAACTCCATCTGTATACAGACTGAATACATAGTAAGAGGTAATAGAAGTGTTGTAAGGTGGTAAACCAGAGATTGATACAGGAACTGTAGTTATATTATGTATCTATACTTACAGGATACTAGATTTTTAATCTCTTTTTGCAATGCTTAAAGAAATCTAGGTATATAAATTGCAAGATGATGTTTATGATTTTTATTAAATGCATTGTAAGATATATGATGATTTTTCTATTACTTTGTGTACCAGAAATCATGTAGTATTGGGATCAGTTTTAAAAGGTGGGGTTTTGCCACAAGCAGAATTCTTTCTAAATGTAATTTTAGACCACAAGTTGAACTCTTCTCTCTTTTTCAGCAGATTTATAGCTACTTGTTATTTTCTCACTCCTGGTTAGATTGACCTATGACCAGAATTTCTCAAAAGTTCTCTTTGATGCCTTAGTTCTGTTCAATCTGACCATTTTATCTCAAAATATATACAAAATACATGCAAAAATAAAGGGTAAAACAATAAGCACAAAAGGAAAAATTAAAATATTGCTACAACCAAATTATTTTTCAGCTTGTGATTATAATCACAAAGGCAAGAATATATAACCAAAGGACTATAAAAGATGATAACTATTTTTTCTGAACTGTTGATGAGACTATCTGTTATATTTTCATTTTAAAAAGAAGTCCTTAAAAACTATCGACTTCCCACCAACACTCAAAATTTTAAATTCTGCTGGTAAAGGGAGTCAATGGATCAAATTCAGTATACTTGAAGTCACTGAAATAAAGGCCCCTAAGAAAAATGTGTCAATTTTAAAGGTCTTCCCTGACTGAAGACCATTTTGTGATAGAGCCAAAGGTTAATAAAATCAGTAGTGAATGTAGCAATTTTACAGATAAGCTATTCACAACAAGTGTAGTTACTTGAATAAAAAGCTAATTCAGTTCTAAAATGCCACATGCAGTAGCAGTGAATAGCTGCTTTTAGGTGCTTTCTGGAGGAGGATAAAATACAGAATCAGAGCACTCTTCTTTTCCAGCATCCCTGGCTGCCTGTAAATTGCTGTGAATGGGACTGTAGGCTGACAGGCTCTATTAAGACAAACTGCCTTTCTCATCGGAGATATAAAATAAATCAGGTGTTTAGTCAAATTAAAATACTTCAGATGGAGCAGGCCCTGGGGAGCACTGATCCACCTGACAAATCTGAGAGAAACTCAAGACAGATGTGTTTGGGGGATAAGGAAGACCCCACGGAAAAAAAAAAATACACTGCTGTCTTTGGAGTAAGAGAATAGGATTAGAACAGAGCGTGAGCTGTGATATATGATATTTTATGGAAGCTGGCATATTTACTGTACATTTTTTACTAAGCTTTTTGTTTTATCTGTTTTTATGGCAAATACATTTTACAGATAGCTATATTTTTATTTTATTTATAGATATTTTTAGTCAGCATCAAAAGTTTATTTACTGGTAATGAGTTTAGGAATCTCGTTGCTTGCTGCAGTAGGTGGATGCAAAACAGATGATGATGGCACACAGCTACTGATGACCTCTCTTGGCCCAGCCAGATCAGCTCAATCTGGTCTGCATTCTGAGCAAGTTGGGTTTTATTGGTATTTAAACTGTAAAATAATGGTTGGGATTTTCCACTCTAAAATTAAATTATACATCCCACACACACTGTTCATACAACAACATTCTGCATCTTACGCTTTTTCGTGTCTTGAGCAGTGTTGGGTTAGGTGTCTTGCAGCTTCATGGAGGTCTCGTTATTTTCTGGGAGCACAGTGTACATTTTGTGGTCATCAGTTCTATTCTGTTGTTCGGTTACATAGCATAGTACAAATTAAAGAGTACTTTAAATGGGGTCATTCATTTCAGATGTGTTTTTCTGGGGCAAAAAAGGAAAGAAAAACAATTACTATGAATTCCTGAGTAAGAATACTTACTTCTGCCTGCTATTGTATAAAATTCAGAAAAAAAGAAAAAGAAATGACCTTATACATTTGCTGCAACTATATCAAATGGTTCTAGCTAATCATCACAAAACAATCAAATTTTGTAGCTTTAGTAGGCACTCTTTGTGGTAGCTTTCTATTCATATTATGAAGCAAGTACTAAGTATACAGAATAATATGGAAATGGAGCAGAAGACTAATACCTGCTTTGGATGTGTAAAATATTTTATGATTGTAAGATCAGACGCCTGCATTACAATGCCAAAGCTGCTTGACAGATGTGGAAGTCTCAAGCTGTGGTTTCCCAGGTGGCAGTGGATGGTAATAAGTATCATTTGAGGCAGCAGGTTGCTTCCCATTGGCTTGCTAAAATAGGTGGAGTGGTTGATCTCTTCTAGTCACGATGGGCAAGAGAGTTTTTCTTTGGCAGAACAGTCTTTTATCTGTGAAAATGAATTTCAGTATACAATAACATATTCAAAAGCAGCTAAATAACCTTTGATCCGTGGTGCACAATCTTCCAGACAAAATAATACCATTTAAGAGGGTTAAGGTAAGCTATACTGAAGTTGCAGATAACTGAACTGATGTCAACAGTGTGGAGCTCAGTACAAGCTAATGGAGCCTGGCAAGGCAGTACCTTCTGTGCAGACGTTTTCCTGGCCGCATACCTGCCTAAGCTTACTTTCAAAAATCTTTTTTCTGTTGTTGTTTTGAAACAGCTTTTTGCACAGAACTCTTTTATTGCTTCAATCATGCATATCACACTAAGATTTTGCAATGAGTTGGTCCAAATAGCAGAGTGCCCTTCAGCTTTAACTTCATGCATCTATCATACTTCTTGTGACTAAGAAAATTGCTAACCATTTCTAAAACTCCTGCTACAACAGAAGTTACTCTTTTTTTCTTATCCAGAGGCCTGTACCACATGTATACTGAATTAAGGTTTGGCATTACAGGGTACTGAAACATCAGTTTGTTGCAGACTCCTTTAAAACTAAGATAGTTAACAGTGGCTAAGCAATGGAATATTTTCAGTACTTTATGTTATTAAATGCAGCTAAGAAATGTACAGAAAAACAGGTATCCTTTGTTTCTGGGAGTTTACTTTGTTTGGAGTGAATGACTTAAGTCATGCACTTTTTCTATAGAAAGCAATTATAGACAGAAGTTTTCTTGTATGCTGCTTTTGCAAATGAAATTCTATTTAAGAATAACATTGGTCCCATCGTAGCACGATGTAAGTAGTAGAGCATCTTGGGTTTGTCACCTGCGTGGCAGGAGTCTGTTTTGTCTTCCCTCTCCTTATGAAACCTGTCAACCTCTTTCTTCTCTTCCCTAGAAGATATCCATCTTACTCCTGGGAAGAAGGTGGAGTCATAATTTTGGCCACAGTTTCTCCATTCCCTCCCAGGTCCTGTTCCTCACACATTTTCTTCCTCTTCAAAAGTCCTGTGACTTCTTTATCACAGTCCTCTGTTGTAAATGGAGGAAAGGAAGTATGCGAATACCCTCTCTTTTGTGCCACTTCTCATATCATTGTGGCAGATTACAGGTCTGACTAGTTTCTTGGTTTGTTTTGCTTCTTCTCTAACTCTCAGTTCTCCTGTACAACATAAAATTGTTTCATTTTTCCCACTTCCAACTGTAAACCTCTTTCAGATACTCTTCCAATATTCCTGAACTGCTACTTTACTGTAATTATATTACCTCATACAGAACTGTGGGTCTGAAATGCTCACACAAGGAATTGCAGCGTATGGCTCAAATATAGGAGCTGACATTGTTGTTTGTGACAGAGTAATATGTTCACATGTAAGACGGGATATTTTTGGATAGATGTGCAAAAGGACCCTGTACTGTCTACTTAGGAGACCCATGCAATTTACCCATAAACAGACCATTAAGCATCATTAGTGCAAAGAATAAATGTAGCGTAGTTTCATATTAATTAAGTGCTCTCTGTAGAGTAAACTTTGAAAGTTAAATGAAATTTTTAAGCCATTTTCTCAGGTTAGCCATTTCTCTTAGGGACAAGTAAAGCTCATTTTTAATATGCATTCCATAACCAAAGCTTACATTTACCCAAATGACCTACCAGATATATGGGTATTTTAGAGAAATGATCAATAAACTATGAAACTGCTTCTTCCACTGAACAGCATCTTCTAATTTTTTTGTTTAAGCATTTTTACATACTTGGGGGAAAAAACCCAACAAAATATATAAAGTGAAGAAAAATTATGTCTAATAAACTGAGAATGTATTTATCACACTGGGAAGATTTAGATGGAAAAGATACAGGGATTTGTACACAGTGCATCATTAATTACTCCTGTCAGAAAAAAAGAAATACTCTCTATCTTTTCTGCTCCGATTTTTGTTATATCCTCCACTGCTTAGAGCACAACAAAGCTATGTGCTAGATTCTTTTGGGATTTGTTAGTAAAATATATATTCAAACTGCTACTTGAAATAAGCGTGTTGGTGATTCAGCCATTTTTTTGGTGAATATTGCTTGGTGTAACTATTGTCTATCTCATATTTACAGTACATCTTTCCTGCACATTTAGGTACACCAGAAAGCCTGGCAGAAAAAGAGCGACAGCTCTCTACTATGATCACCCAGCTGATCAGCTTACGGGAGCAGCTCCTGGCTGCCCATGATGAACAGAAAAAGCTGGCAGCCTCACAAATTGAAAAACAACGGCAGCAAATGGACCTTGCTCGCCAACAGCAAGAACAGGTGAGGCTCCAAGAAAGAAACCTGTGAAAATGTTTCATGCAGAATGCTTATCATAAACACTGTTCTGCTCGGTGTTTCATCTTGTTTTTTTGTTAAAAGAGCTTAAATACGTTCGGAAATTACGTATTTTTCCAGAAAGAGGAAATATTATAGGACCCTGAGGAAAAAAAGTGGGTGTGGACATTCAAATAATTTCTTTCCTAGAATAAATGGCATTTGATAGATTTCACAGTTCTTGTTTCTTGCACTGAGATGCCATTTTTTGGAGTTACAAATAAGCCGGACTATAACCATTATTTGACTCTCTCTCTTTTTGACAAGAAAGTACTTGAACAAAAACCTTTAAGCATCCTCAATCATTCAAATATCTTCTATAAGTAAGGCTTGATTTGTTTGTTCATGTTGGGGGGGGGGAGGGGTTTCTTGGTTTTTTTGTTTGTTTGTTTTGATTTTTGTTTTTAAAGATGCAGTTGTTCAAAGAGCTGTCCTTTTCTTATTGTATAAAAGTGTAACAACAGTGATCCCATACACTAGTTCCCTAGGCATTAGATCAGACAGATCCAAATTAATGTGTGGTTTTTAGGAATCTGACATTATTACTAGAATTATCTTTTCGGTTAAACGTATTTTATGGGATATATACGGCAATATATGCTCTGTTGATTTTAATGAGTTGTGACGTCTGGTATTTTATGTGCTTGAGTATTTGCCCACATGTAGGAATATGGACTCATCCCCTAATGGAAAATAACATAAAGGAACACTGTAAAAAATCAGAAGTTAGAATGTCATTTAGCCATCCAGAGATGACACAGTAATTAACTATTGACACTTGTGAATAAGCTAGCACAAATTAATCTTGACACATTTGCAGACGAGTGATATCTTACAGTGAACACTTTGTAATTATATTTCAAAATGAAAATTAAATGACACTTAAAACTAGGTTGTCATGCTCAATGAAGCAAGCATGTAGCTCAACCGATAGGCAAATAAAATTCAGAATTTGAACCACATGGTGCTTGTGTACCCTACTTTACTGTGTCAAACCTATACATCAAGACTATGCTATGGTAATTGCATTGCGGGGTATTGGATACATTTTCTATCACAGTACTGTTCCATCTAAGAGGAACCATTGGCATTAGATGCTTCATGGTATATTTCTGGTTTTCTTCAGGAAATGCCTATTCAAATAGTAGTAGATTGTACATACAGGTACAAAAAGCTGTTCACAAGCAGTCTGAACTCCGGCAGACCAGTGCCTTTGCACACGTAAGCAAAGATTTCATCCTTGCTCTGGCTATAGCTTATAGCTTACCATGTTAAGTAGTGGGCAAGTGATCAGCAGCTCCAAACAATTCTGGACACAGGATACCGTGTATCTGTGAAAAAAGATACAGCACAGAAGGAATGATCCATGATGCAGCTCTATGCGGTGTCTGATATCAATGTGAAACTACAAATGATTCCTTTCTGAGGCTGAATATCTTGCTAATCTTTCTATTACCTTCACTGAGATTTTAGCAGTAGGGACAATGTGGACATAAACCCGACAGAGGTTATCGTTAGTGACAAGCACTACACTTCCAAGATGGAATATCACAATTGGTGTGTTACTCCTTAAAAATAGTAACTCCAAGTGCTCATACAAGTTTTTAAATATTCTGTGTAGCACAGTTACCATTAGACTTGCTTTTCCAAGCATAGACACTACTGCTGACCACTGATCTGACAATAGATGACCTGAGATCCTGGGAGCTGTCCCTATGTTACCTGGGCACACAGGCTCTGTTTGAACTACCTTTTTCACTAGCAGACTAGGGCCTGCTTCTTCAGTCTCCATTCACCATATTTTTATTGATTTTACTGGGATATTTGTCCAGAAATATTTGAACACCACACGCATGAAGAGAGTCTGATCCCTGTTACAAGCATCAGCGTAGTGGGCTATGAGAATTACTTGATTCCTTTTCTGCGTGGCACTTTGCCTTGATTTTGCCCCACAATCATGTAGATCTCAATTTGTCTCTTCGAGGCTCCATGCAAGACTTAAAATATGTATTAATTTTGTGTTGGTCTTCCATTTTATTTTAACTGTAGCAGTGAAAAAAATTACAGAGTTATTTCCAGGTGACAAAGTGAGAGATTACGGAAATGACAGACTTGCTCTCTGTGTGTGCACAATTACAAGCTGTTAATATGGAACTGCAGATTCCTTATGAGTTAATCTGAACAGTTTGCACTAAAACTATGTGATTGTTTATTTCCAAATCAACCTTGCTACATTTCTGTAATTTTTTTTATCATAAAAACATTTTACTTAGCTTTCTCTGTTTATAACAGAGTAAGCATGCTCAGAAGATGCTGAGGAAGAAGAGCAGGAGGGATTTTGCTGAAATCGAAACTGGATTTGAGTGCTCAAACTACCTTTGTCACCAACTTCTTGCTGTTTTATGTGGTTCCTCTGCTCTAGATAAATATTTATAGGAGGGGAAATTATACTTAAGAAATGAAGGTAGCAGAAGTGCTGAGGCCAGGGTTTCCAGGAAACACAAATCTTGTCCTTGTTTCAGTCTGCTGCACAGTTACCCTTCTAAAGCAGAAGTCCAGTTGTTCCCCCAGCTCCCTGCAGCTTCTCCCCCGTAGCTGCTCTCCGTGTTACCCACTGCAGGGAGCAGCTCTGCGGTCTGAGGGCAGGATCCTATTTCCCTTCTGCTTTTGCATGCTGATTTTGGATGGTTTGTGGGAATCAGGGGAGTGTGTGGGGTGTCTGTGGCAGATTCTCTCTCATTAGGCTCTTAGTGTTCCCTGCCCTGAACACTTGCTTCTCTGCATCCATGTTAGAGAAAGGATAGAGTGAACCTTTGCCCTCCAGATCCCTTACTGAATCTACCAAGTGAGGGTAAGAATATCTCCATATTTCACAGGGTTGTGTTGAGGGTGAGTTACTGAGCATCAGGTACTGCTTTGACACAGAATGAGACCCTACTTCCTTGAGTAGTTCCAAGGAAGACTTCGAGATTTACAAGAGAAGTAATGTGCTGCTTATTGTGAATGAAGTTAGAGAAGCTTTCCCTAGGAGCTTGTGCTGAATAGTGAAACATCTATAAATACTAGCTAAGGCTCCAGTTCAGCAAAGCAGGAAAATGTGTGTTTAACCTTAAGCACCTGAGTAATCCCATCCCCATTCAGCAAAGCCCTTAATTTTAAGCATGTGTTTCATTCCCATTGTAGCTAAAAGGAATGCATCATAGTCAAAGATCACCACAGGCTTAAATGCTTTGTTGAGTAGTGATGAGATTATTCACATGCACACAGCTAAACCCATCTTTCTATGCTTTGCAGAGTTGAGGCCTAAGTGCTTAAAATACATATTTCTTACTGGCTAACTAGATTTTTATGTTGCATTTAAATTTAAAATGTTTACGTCACATATACAGTTACCTCTAAAATATCCTTCATATATTTAAAAAATAAATGATGCTTAATAAAAATATAATAAAGAATAACTAATAAGATGTTTTTCACTCAATAGTATTGAAGTTTCAATATTACTGTTTTAATTTAATGGAAATTTTATTTCTAACAGATTGCAAGACAACAGCAGCAACTTCTGCAACAGCAGCACAAAATCAATCTACTGCAGCAGCAAATTCAGGTCAGTGTGTTTTATTGCTCTCTTCTGATTATACTTAAATTCCATTTATGGAGAAGGAAGGATCTAAAATAAAGCAGCCACATGCTTTACTAACAAGCCTCAGTAAAGATGCTTTTTATGGAGAATCTTTGTGTCTTAGAAAACTATTGTCAAACATCTTTTTGGTGGAAAGAGCTTTTCTTTAATAAGCAGCGTTTTCTTCTGAAAGTTACAAAGTATTTCTTAAATCTTGTCATTTAATTCTGAGATCTGCAATCAGTTTGACTTGTATTGTGTGAAGTAAAAGCAGAGTCTCATCATTGTTTATAGAATTCCTTATTCTACAATGGCAAAATTGGCTTTGTAAGAAGGTTAGAAGAATGTTTTCCATTTCTTTAACTAAAGCAAACAGCTATGGAATAGGATAATAGACACTGAGACAGTACTAAGTCCCTGGGACCAGGCTGCTCGTGTATGAAGACCCACAGGTATATGTGTCCCATGTACCTTTGGAGTAACTGTACCTTCATGGGTCTGGAAGTGTTCTGGAGGTATTCAATTACCTGTACTTGAACTCAGAACCTGGTTTAATTTTGTGCAAATATATGCAGGTAAGGAGTGACATGTAGGTAAAGGCATTGCTGATGTGTGACTGTAGTACCTTCTCTGCTTCCCCCTTTTTTTTTTTTTTTGAAAGCATTTCCATGGGCCTGTTGTTTGATTTAAATGTTTTGGGTTGGTCTGACAGATGATTGTGCTGCCAATCATTTCTTATAAGCTTGGACTATCAGGTTTTTTTCTTTAATCAACTGATTACCATGTTACTAGATGCCAAAACAGAAGTTCTTCCTTCAGTCATCCCAAAGGAATGCTTGTAAATGCTTTTGCCAATGTTGTAATGAAGTTTCAGTTACACTTTAAGGAATTTAATTAACATATATAAATGTGTTGATACCTGGGCTGAGAGAACTTTAAAATGCCATTATTGTCATTGCCTGTTGGAAGAATGCGTGGTCATATTAGGTGTACAGAAAGGATGAAAGAGATGTAAGAGTAGTGAAAGGAAAAGATACATCATCTTCTCTAAGTGTTATTTCCAAGTCTGGCTTCAGAAAACAAAGAATCATATAAAAAAAATCTTTACTTGGCATAAAAGCCAAGACTGAAACATAGCTGAGTCTGCTAAACAGGACAGTTATTTGCATGAGAAATTTCTAATTTTTAAAAATTCCTTTTAAAATTAGGATTCAGAAAGCAGAATCATGACCAGGTAATTTTTGTTCCTGTTTGGAGAATGTGGGTATGTTTTATTGGGAAGAATCCTGCTCTGCAGTAAAAAGTTCAAAGGTACTTTATGTTTCAGTTCACTCAATACTTTCCAGTAGCTTTACCCTTCCAGTGACTCCAGAGAAAAGCGGTCTTAGAATAAGTCACAGGTTCATTTTAGAATAGGTTGCAGGTTCATTTTCTTGTTCACTGCCGATTTCCCTCTTACATAGTTCTGAACCCTCCACAAGTTTTTTTTCCCGTCCTTTCCTAGATGTATATGCAAAGAAGTATTTTAATGATTGTTCTGTTCATGTGAACTAAATTATTTCTTGGTCATTCTTCCCTATATTTGTTGCAAAATTCTTGCCAATATAAGCTACTCATTCTGTAGATCCTCAGCAGTTTGTCCTCTTTATTTATCTTTGTATTTACATGAATCTAATCAGTATTTGAGGCAGTGAGGACTGTTTCCTCTCCCAGCTGGTTAGCCAGATTGGTAATGGGCATCTCATTGCCCAAGGAACATTGTAGGCTCCTATATGAAGCACTAGGCACATTGGGCAGATGCCATCTCCAACATACATTGATCTTTCGAGGAGATTACTGAAAAAAAGTTTGTTAGGAGATTGTTTCCTAGGCTGAACACCAGTTTACATAGTCCATTTGCTTGTGAGCCAAGTGGTTCTTCTTTGTTTATTTGTTTCTTCTTAATTCTGTGGCAGGTTTGCTAGCCAGAAGTTGCTTGGGAGAGAAGTTAGTTGCTAAGTTGCCTCTGCAGTTTGTAATAGTTTGTTGCTATCGAATTGATTACGAGTGTTGCGGTTTGTTGAGACATGTAAGCTCCTTAAGGGCTGTAGGTGGGATGGAGGTAAACCAGGAGGCAGGTGGGAGGTGTAGTGCTGTGCTGTGCTGGTTCTCCCAGGTCCCCTCCCAACATCTTCCCAGGAAACCTCAACACCAATTCTGAAGTCGCACCGGTGACTCTGGGTGGAATTCATCGGATCAGAAGTAGGTAACTGCAGTGTAGGCTCTGTCTCAATTAATTATCCAGATTGTTTTTTATAATGAACAGAGAGAAGACGAGTGAATAGTTTTAGGATGCAATTCATCTTGGCCTAAAGTAGACATTTAAAATATGTCAGATTAATTGTTCCCTAAAATGGCTGTTTCTCTCCATTAACTATAAAGGATACACATGCCGATGCCTGTAGTGTAGAGAGGTCTGAAGTGAGATGAGATGGCTTGAGGGGAAAAAACAATTTCCTAAGAAATGTTTACGTTCTCAGTTTAGTTTTGGGGCTTGGTACAGTTCAGAACTGCGTCCTCAATAACTTACTGGGTTTTATTCAGAAGGTGCATTTGTTTAAAGACATTCTTGAGCAACCGTTTTCAGGAAACAGCGATTACTTACATAAAATGGTGTGGATTCTTATCTATACTTTGTATGCATGTAAAAACAATAGTACTCTTCCCTGCCACTCCCCTTTTGAAGAGATTACAAAAGCTAAGTAGCACAGGTGCCAGTTCCATCTGAGTGTGGGCCTATTCATGGCACAGCTACTTGAAATAAGTACGGTATGTTCTCTAGGATGCAGGAGTGGGGCACTACTGATGCAATGTTTTCATCATGAGACACACAGTGTACCACTGTCGTCTTCTGAGATACAGTGTTAATTCTTAAACAATAATTTCTGTGAATAGGTGCATCCAATTTATTTAACCATTTAAACAATTACAAATTACTTCAGATGCAGCTTAGAAGATTTCTGTTAAATACATATAAAAGTGGAAATAATCCGTATTAAATAAAACACATCTTTCCCTGGATACCCATTGGGTTAATTTCTGAGAATTTTCATTATTTGATATTTATTATTTACATTGTAATGTACATTATTTGTTTCTCTAATCATTTTAACACCTTATTTCATTTAGTTGGTTTTTTTTTTGTTTGGTTTAGTTTTTAAGACCATTTACTGGAGCACCTTACTCGAGTTTTTATACATCGAAAACTTTGTCAACAATCTATGAGCAAAGAGGACATTAGCTAGGCTTAGCATATGAAAACAGCATAGATATTTCAAGAGTACTGAGGTCATTAAATGTTCTGCATAATCGCCTCATGTTTTCCAAGTGAAGGTAATGTTACTTTCAGGGTGTGCATTTTGGGGAAAGCAGTTTTGTCTGTTGGCTAAAGGGAGTGGGAATCTGGAGTTGTTCTCAGTTCTGTCTCTGGTTATCTGAAATTTGGCAAATTGTTTCCTGTTCCTCAATTCAAACGTAATGTTCTGAGAATCTTAAATGAAAATTTTCAAATAAATGCAGTGTATTATTACTTTTCAGCTCAAATGTTCATCATGTTCATAAACAGTCTTCTACAGAGGAGTCCAGAGAGATGGGAGGAAAACTAATACGCCAAATTAAGTTCTTAGTTCTGCAAAGCTGTGCAGAGAAATCATTGCTTTTAATGGAAATAAAGTTGGGAAAATACTGTAGGGCAATGAGGAGCTCACAGATGAGTCGCCAGGTTGATTCAGATTTTTAAAAATAACTTTCTTTTTTGTTTAGTAACAAATATTCATTCTTAAAGTAGAAGGGACAAAATGAGGGTATTTCAAGGAGATCTCTCAGCCTGTGCTGTGAAAGCGAAAACCTCTAGTGATAAGGGAAAAAGCTGTTTAAAGGAGGAGTTTGGTGGCACATTTCGTACCTTGGAAGAAGGGAAGGCTTGCATCTGTAGAGTGGTTCCAACCTTGAGAACTGCTTAAGGCCCTGAAATCCCTGTGAATTCCGTGCCTCGTTGCCAGAATTCAGTCTTTTCAGAACGAGGCTTGGGCACTGCTTCTGGCCCCACCATGTCCAGCTGAGGAAGGGGGTTGGGTCCCACTGATGCTTGGAGTGTGTTGCTCCAGGATATCCCTCCAGAGGTGTGTGTGTGGATATAAGGGATGGAAGTTTGAGGACTTTCCTTCTCTTGTGGGCAAGTGTTGTTACGGTGAGCCCTAAACTGTGGCTGAAATCTTTAAAAGAGACACTGGTTGTTGAGCTCTTCTGCAAAACTTGCCATGGGTATTACAATGACAGCTTATCCAAACTGCTTTCATCCATTTCTCTTCACCTTATTCCTCTGTACTTTGCTCAATGCCATTGCAGAGCATTTCATTTTCTGTTTGAGTCAGTATCATTTCCATTGCATAGAAAAACTGGCTTGCTCTGCTCTTACAAGTATTCTGTTTTAATTCAGCCACGAGAAATTATTCCTAATAGTAATTTTTTTCTAGTTTTAATCTATACATTCATGCTGTTGTAGTTTCATATTAATGTTCTTGCATTTTCTGTTTCATTCAAAAAGAGTGAACATGATTACTGTGATAGTAAACAAACAGAAGAATAATATAAAAATTACAACTATTTAAACTGTCCTTGAATCGGAATAATTTGAATCGTACTTAAAACTTAAGAGGCTGAACCAATGTGTCTCTCTTCTTATCCATGATTAACTACTGACAATTCAGGTACCTGGTGAGCTGAATAAGGACTATCTCTTTATGTGAAGTACATGTCTAAAGATCAGGAATAATTACATTCCACATTAGCCTTCATAGCCTCCCTGACCTGGTTAATTAATTTTTTGCTGGGATAATAATAGTAGAAATAGATTTAAAGATATGCTTCATCATTAAGTATGTAACTGACCTCCAATTTTAAGAGCCAAACCTTTCATTTATTGCCTTTTGGAGACAGGTTAAAGC